GACGCAGTCAGCTTGTGACTGTAACGGCGCACGTATCCCACACACAAACAAAACACACCTCTTCTTCACAGGCTCGTCTCAACGTCCCTTTGTCTGTCAAAAGCCCTCAAGTAGGACAAGAGAGAGGAAAGCAATTGTCTACCACCAGCGTGCCACCCCAGCCGCTGTCGTTCTTGTTCTTGTTCGCTCTCGCCACAACTGCCGCCACTATTCCCAGAAAGGCACGAATGTTGTGGAAGACACACGCAATTTTCGTTAACCAACCCAATACACAGCCAGCCAAGCTTCTCTCTCTCCTCTCTCTCTTGTGTGTTGTGTCTCCCTCAAGATGAAGTCAGTGGTAGCAGTGCTTGGTGTGCTGCTGTTTGCAGCCGTTACCTCCGCCCACGTGCTGGAGCTTGAGCCAGACTCCTTTGACGACATTGTCAACGGTAACGACAAGACGCCAGCCCATGTTTTTGTGGTTCTGTGTCTGTGTGTTTTGTGTGCATGTATGTGTGTGGCAAGGTGGTGGAGGTGGTGTGGTGGTGCCACGTCATCTGATACGCGACAAACAACACAACGCAACACAACACAACACCCGTCCTCACCTCAACGGCACTGCTTCGTGTTGGTGGGTGGTTGTGGTTACAGGCGACCGCTTTGTGTTTGTCAAGTTTTACGCGCCATGGTGCGGCCACTGCAAGTCCATGGCTCCCGCCTACGAGGAAGTTGGTGATGCCTTCTCCCACATTTCCGACGTCGTCATCGCCAAGGTGCTGTTGTTATTTGGTTGTTTGCTTGTTTGCTTGTGTGTGAGTGTGTGTTTGTTTGTTTATGTGTGTTTGTTTGGGGTTACTTGTCAGCGCGTGGTGTGCGTGGTGTGTGTGTGTGTGTGTGTTCCCGACCCACCCACACTCTCTCAAATCTCTGCTTGCCTGCTTCCACGCTCACTGATCCGCTTGCGCTGCAATGCCGCCGTGCACTCACTCAATGTCAGGTTGACGCTGACAAGCACCGCGAGCTTGGCTCCCGCTTTGGCGTGAGCGGCTTCCCCACCCTCAAGTACTTCCCTAAGGGCGCCACCGAACCTGAGGCGTAAGCTTCCAACCCCTCACTTTGCATCTAGTGTCCCTCTCTCTGCTCATTTGCAGTTGCCAACCATCACACACAGCAGTCTGTACCCGCACTTGCCTGTCGATCACCGCCATGGCTCACCAACCAACACCACCATCGCCATTCTCGCGCGTGTCCATCAACCACCGCCTGCCGGGGCCCTCCACAACACAACCGTGTCACCTCACAAACAACCGCCACCACATACTGCGTAAATGGGTTGGCACACCAGGTACTCTGGCGGTCGCGGCGCTGAGGATCTGGTACAGTTCATCAACGAGAAGAGCGGATTCCGCGGTCGCATCAAGAAGCAGCCCTCCGACGTCGTCGTCCTCGACGAGTCAAACTTCGACCAGTGCGTTACAGAGTATTGTATTGTTGTGTGTGTCTGCCATGTGTGTCTGCCGTGTGTTTTTTTTTTTTTTCATGTGCATCTCCGTCCCTCACTCTCACTCACTCGCTAATTGCTCACCCACTCTCCTTCACTCTCACTCACTCGCTAATTGCTCACACACCCTCTCCTTCTCACTCCCCCTCTCTTGCGTGTCAACTGACCTTCATCTCCGCCCCCTGTAGGATTGTGATGGACGAGAACAAGGACGTTCTTGTTGAGTTTTACGCGCCGTGGTGCGGCCACTGCAAGTCGTAAGTCAAGCACACCTTCATTCTGTGCGTGTGTCTGTGTGTGCGTGTATGTGTCTGTGTGTGCGTGTGTGTGCGTGTGTGTGCGTGCGTGTAAACATGTCTGAACACGCCTGTGCACCCATCATGGGAGCAATGCCAACCTTCTTGTTCGTGTCACCACCTTCTGCCATCTCCCTTTCAACATTCCACTCACACGCTGTGCGCTGTGCCTTGTCGTGCCACGATGCTGACCGGTGCATCTGCTTGCGTTGCCTGCAGGCTCGCTCCGACATACGAGAAGGTCGGCAACGACTTCAAGAACGAGGACGACGTAAGTGCGAAGCCAACACTGCCGTGGGGGTTGTTGAGGGGTTGTAACTGAAATGAGGGTGGCAGTCGATGTGGTGGCTGAAGCGGTGGCTGCTTGTCAACTGTTGTGTCTGTGGTACTTGAGTGTGTGATTGTTTCCTTCGTTATCTCAAGCCGCCGTTGTCATCATCATCTACTTGATCTTCGTCGTCGTCGTCGTGGTTGCACTTGCGTTCAGATTGTCATTGCCAAGATGGACGCCGACAAGTACCGTGGCATCCCCTCCCGGTCCGTCACACACACACACACACACACACACACACACACACACACACACACACACACACACACACTCTCTCTCTCTCTCTCTCTCTCTCTCTCTCTCTCTCTCTCTCTCTCTCTCTCTGTCTCTGTCTCTCTCTCTCGAGCACACACATGCAAACACACACACGCATGTACACACGCACACACATATACACACACTAACACACACTACAAGCGCCCATTTCTAACATCACCGTGTCCCCATGTCCTGTCTGTATGTGTGCAGGTACGACGTGACGGGCTTTCCTACGCTCAAGTGGTTCCCAAAGTCGAACAAGGACGGCGAGGACGTAAGCCAAGCACACGCGTTGCACGCATCAACTCATTTTCACCATCACCGCAATCACCCACCCCGATCACCATCGCTCGCACCACATGCACCCGCACCTCAAGTTGCACCTTGAAACAAGCCAGCTCGCTGTGTTGTGGCCACGTTGTTCGTCACTGCTTGCTACCTGCCCACAACTACTCACACAATCCACCACCACCAATATCAACAATATCTCCACCACTGCTGCCTGTGCGCAGTACTCCTCTGGCCGGTCTGAGAAGGACTTTGTTGAGTTTATCAACGAGAAGACAGGCGCCAAGCGGCTCCCTGGCGGCGCCCTCGCTGACGACGTACGAACCTTGGCACCGTGGTGGTAGTGGTGATGATGAGGGCTTGCATCGACGCAAGTGGCCTGCAATGTGCCCACCTGCCTCACTCTCATTCACGCGCTCTTCGTAACAACCCCTCCCTTTCTCCTCCTCTCCGTGCTGCCTGCTGCCTACTGCTGCAGGCTGGTCTCATTTCCGTCCTGGACGAGCTCGCAAAGGCCTTCGCTGACGAGGTGCTCCGCTCATTACAACGGCATCGCTGGTGTCGTGTGCCGTGATGTGATGAGATGTGTTGTGTTGTATGATGTGTTGTGATGTGGTGTGATATGTTGTAATATGATGTGTTGTGATATGGTCTGGTGTGTTGTGTTGTGTTGTGTTGTATGATATGTTGTGATGTGATGGGCGGCTGGGGTGGACGGGTGGTGATTGCTTGTTGAGATAGCCGCACACACACACGCACACACGTATACACGTGGACAGGTACATACATGAATGCGTGTCCCTCACAATATCCCTCCCCCCATCTCTGTTTTTGTGCGTGTGTGTGTGTGCCTCGTTATCACGCCAGGGCGAGCGGGAGAGCGTGCTTGCCAAAGCTGAGGCCGAGGCTGCCAAGCACGACTCCAAGTATGCGTCGTACTACGTGAAGGTGATGAAGAAGATTGCAGACAAGGGCAACGACTTCCCCGCCACGGAGATTGACCGCCTCGAGCGCATCCTCGGTACGACGACGATGATGATGATGATGATGATGATGATGATGATGATGGTGGTGGTGGTGGTGGTGGTGGTGGTTGTTGTTGCTTGTATGCTTGCATGTGTTGGCTGTGTCAGCCGCTTGTTGCGCTTGTTGGGTCCGTTTATGTGTACAGAAAGCGTCATCCAAACACACACATACACTGTACACGCACATCATCTGCATCGGTATCAAGTGCATGACCCCCACCCAATACGCCGTCCATCCCCCCCCCCGCCTCTCATCTCAAACGCACGCACACACATACGCACACACACGCATCCACTCAAAAACAGCTGCCGGCAACGTCAAGGCCGACAAGCTCGACTCGTTCTACATTCGCCGCAACATCCTCAAGCAGTTCTAAATGCGCCCCGTGCCTGCAAGCAAATGCCAGCAAACAACAAGCACAAAATTGCACCACGCACGCACGCACGCATCGCTTGCATGTGAGCGCTGCTGATGCAAGTGCTCTGTGCACCCGCATTTGCTGCACGAACGCGTGTCATGCTCTGTCTTGCTCTTCCCTCCTTTCCTTCCATCCACTCTCCCTCCCCAAGTACACACACGAACACTGACAGCTGCAAATGACGGAACCATGACCCTGAGAGCTGAGAGACGAGCGTGGCGACAAAGTTGAAACCGCACACATACAAACACAAACATAACACGCACGTACACACACACACACACACACACACACAAGCACACACACACAACACCTCTTTCGTTTCATGGAGCAGACGTGTCCATGCTGGCGTGTTCTGTGGCGACTGTTGCGCGCGTGCGCTGCTGTATGGCGGAGCGGGCGAGGGCAACGCTGTAACCGAGACACGCGCCCGTCGACACCTGCACTAGCGACTCGATACGCTGCACGAGCGCACGCACGCTGGACTCGGCCTGCAGGGTGTTTGGATGGGTGGGGATGGGTGTGAGTGGTCATAGGGATTCAAGATGACACACGCACACACACACGTTGCATGCAGCCATGCACACATGCACACACGCAAACACGGACGCACGCATGCGGGGTCTCGTTCATGCAGACGCAGCTGTGACTGACTGCAAAGTCGACGAAGGTGTACGGAATGTCAAAGTCGATTAGATCAAGTATGCTGTCCATCTCAACCACTTGGGAGCCTTGCTGCGGGACTGGTAATTGACACAAATACATGGCATGAGGTTGGTCACAGGAATCATGAAGACACACTGATGCGCACAAGCACTGACACGCTGGTACGCACTCTCCCATGTGATAGCACACGCACAGAAACACACACGCACGCACGCACCGTAGAAGACAAGTAAGGTCTTGTTCAGCATGGACGCTGATATTGACGACTGTAGATCCTCAATCCTGTCCGGCATGGCATGTGCATGCACTTGTAAGCATGGCGGTGTTTGTTGTTGTTGTTGTTGTTGTTGTTGTTGTTGTTGTTGTTGTTGTTGTTGTTGCTGTTTGGCGGTTGCTCGCTGAAAAGGCAAGCACAGGGCGCGTCACTCACTGTGCGGGCTGGGAGAGATCCAGCAAGATGATGTATGCATCACTGGCCACTGGCGCTGCCGACAAGGTCGGTGCAGAGTGGCTTCATGGTGAGTGGGAAGAGTGCGACGAGTGCGACGAGGGGAAGGGGAGGAAGGGCGTGAGAAAGAGACGCGTGGGTGGTGACAGAATTGAAGCAAGACACGTCTGTGGTCGGAGAATCGTGTGCACACAAACCCCAAAGATACACTGCGCTCACATTTCCAGCTGTAGCGGCGAGTGAAGTCGCAGCCTGGCAGCGATGGCCTTCTTCTCGGCCAACGAGTGGCCAACCAACTGTCGCGCACATTGCAGTGGTGGGTTGAGTTGGAAGCAACAGTGCAGAGAAGAAGCACTTTGTACATGTAGGCACAGAGAGAAAGACAGAGACAGACAGACAGACAGACAGACAGACAGAGACAGACAGACAGACACACACACAGACACACACACACACTCACACACACAGACACAGACACACACACACACACACACACACACACACACACACACACACACACACACACACACACACACACACACAAGAGCACAGCAAAGTCCTGCCATGAACGCACAGCGATAACGGCCTCATCCATGGTCGATAAATGTTCATATCTTCCATGAATCCTCCACAACCACAACAAGAGAGAAAAGAGGAGAAAGAGGAGAAGAGCGACCGCACGACATCACACCACCCCTCTTGAGCACGATGGCGGGCATCTACCACCGCACACGCGGTGGCACGCGTGGTGGCCAGGCAGAGTTCTCTTGGTCAGACGGTCCATGTCACGACAGGACAAGAAGCTGCTCGATCAAGGCATCAAGCTCTTCGAGGTTCGTTGTGTGTGTGTGTGTGTGTGTGTGTGTGTGTGTGTGTGTGTGTGTGTGTGTGTGTGTGTGTGTGTGTGTGTGTGTGTGTGTGTGTGTGTGTGTGTGTGTGTTTAAGCATGGGTGCAACATTGCGTTCGATGCCATGATGATCGGGTCTCAAGCATTAGTGTTGTCACTCCGTTCTGTGCACTGACTGGATCACAATTCTGCTTGCTTTGCGTATAGGGTCCTGGTGCAGACGAGAAGCCACGCCAGCTGTCCTTGAGCCACGAGGTATGGAGAAATCATGGAAGGTGGAGTAGGGGGAGAGAGTGAACGGAAGCATGAAAAACATGGGAAGCAGCGAACAGAGACGGAAGGGCGTCAACGTCCATACACACCCATATCCTCACACGCTCGCTCACTCTCTCATTCACACACACACACACACACACACACACACACACACACAAATACACACAAATACACACAAATACACTCACACACACTCACTCTCACTCTCACACGCGCGCGTTCTAATGTACGTCCTTCACCTCACTTCATTTCGTCTCCACCACCCCATATCAGGCGGCGCAGGTTGGGGGCAGCGACGCCGGCGCGACTGCAACAGCAACAGAAGCAGAAGCGCCAATGTCATCGTCGTCGTCAGTGGCGCTGGCGTCTGGCCGGGACAAGTGGGCCGCTGCGGAGGAACTGAGGAGGAAGGAGAAGAAGAGTAAGAAGAAGAAGAAAAAGGCAAAGAAGCACAAGGCAGAGCACGGTGGGTTGTCAACCATACACATGGCATTGCTTGCTTGTTTGGTTGCAGCTGCATACACAAACTGTCATTCATCACACACTCGCACGCCCTTCCTCTCGGTCTTTCTTCTTACTGCTCATTCATCAGTCACTTTTGCTCATACTCAACTCACCCACCCGCGCGCCCTCATGCTCACTCCCCCCCCCCGCGCAGCGCATTCGCGTGCGATAGATTACGACTCATCTTCCTCACACAAGAAGAGAAAGAGGAAGAAGGACAAGAAGAAGAAGGACAAGCGAGACAAGAAGGGTGGGACAGACAGGACAGACAGGACCGACAGGAAGGAGCGCTCCTCCCGCTCCCCAGCCAAGTCGTACAGTCGCGATCACGCACCTCCATCGCCTCGCAGTGCCCGCCGCCAACGCCACGACAGCAACAGTGATGGCAGCGACAATGATGCCCGCAACGCCGGCAGTACCCACGACCGTCACGCTCGACATGATCGTGATCGCGATGATGATCGTGATCGATACGATGACAGGCGTGTGCGTCGGGGCAGCCGGAGTGCGAGTGGCGAGAGGAGTGAGCGTGGCCGCGGCAGGTCACACAGGCGGAGCACAGACGGTGCATACGACCGCAGGCGCAGAGATGAACAAGATCGTGATCGCGATCGCTATGATGCTGATCGGAGGGCAGAAGAGCGGTCGACACGCCACCGCCACCACCGTGGACGTTCGCGTTCCCGTTCACGTTCACCCGTGAGGCGGAGGAGCCGCGATGACCGCTGATGACGGTGATGTGGTGGTGGTGGTGGTGGTGGTGACGTGCTGTCGTGTTTGTTGTGGTTGCTGCTACTGTTGATTGGTTTGCTTTTGTTTGGTTGTCTCACCTCCCTTTGCTTGCTGGTGTGCGTGTGTGTGTGCATAATGATCGATAATACACGTAACATACATCAGCGTCTTCAACGGTGTCCGTGTCAAGATGGAAGAGAGCGCATGTATTGTTGTCCGTGCTGAGGCCATGCATTGGCCCTCTATCCTCCAAGAGGAGATATGGCAGGGCAGGTCAACACGCAACATGCACCAACACCAACACATGGTGTATTAGCCACCACAACCATCTCAGTCAGCACACCATCAGCACCAGCATCACCATCAGAGGTTTCGACTAACCAATGAAACAAAACCACGCACACAGCACACGTGTCCAACGCGTGGAGGGCTCAACAATTGACCATTCATTCCACAGGTGGCAATCACGAACCTAAGCACCGCCACCAGGAAGAACAGCAACAAACAGCGCCACCAAACAGCGTGGACAGGGTGCGCACACAACACAGATATGAACAGTGCAGCACGCAATGGGTGAAATAATCGCGCTGCAAGCGCTTTAGCAGTTTACACACAAACACACACGCACAACATACACACACACGCACACAACATACACACACAACATACACACGCACACATACACGCACACATGCACGCGAAGCGAAATCCGAATAACGGAGGCAGGTAGTGAAGAGAAGAGAGACAAGGGAGTGCACGGGACGAAGAGAGAGTAGAGGAGGGAGAGAGAGAGGAAAGAGGCAAGGAGACAAAGAAGAGAAGTGGAAAGAAGGGACCGAGCAAGCGAATGTAGCGCAGCAACTGTATGCATCGCCACACATACACACGCACAGCAATAACAACAAGGACAACGGAGGTGGAAGGGGGGCATGGTTGAATTAGCAAAGACAAAAGGGGAGGAAGGAATGGAAGTGACACACAGTGATGGGAAGAAAACAACGAATTACCAAAGATGAAAAGATGGGAGGGGGGCTTTGCTGCTGCACACATCGAACTGGGCGCAGCAACTTGGGAACATGGTGTAACCGCAGAAAAAGAAGAAAGAAAGAAACAACAAAGAAAACGCACAACGACACAACAGAACAAGCGAAGCAAGGGAAGCACCGACGCACAACACCTGTGCTTGAGTGTGTCGTTTACATGAGGGGCATGGCACCTTCCAACAGGTGCTGCACACCATTGAACTTCTCATCAATCACCCCTTCAAAGTACGACTGCGCATGTGTGTGAAGGTGTGTGTGTGTGTTGGGTGAGAGAAGGAGTGTGTGTGTGCGTGGGTGTGTGTGCGTGTGTGTGGAGGTGTGTGTGGAGGTGTGTGTGTGTGTGTGTGTGTGCGTGGGTGTGGATGTGTGTGTGTGTGTGTATGTGTGGGTGTAGATGTGTGTGTGTGTATATGTGTGGGTGTGGATGTGTGTGTGTGTGTGCCTGTGTGTGTGTACACCTTTCGAACCAGCATGAGCCCACCTGTCTCATCCTGAAGAAGGCCATCCCGGCGAGGTAGCTGTTGCTGCCGGCCGAGTGGTTTCCTTGCATCCGCGGAATCTGCAATGGTGACACAGGCAGATGCACGTGTCAATGAGTGTGCCGGGGATGGCATGGTGGTGAACGGCGTGCACATGCAACCCCGAAAGTGCGACGGTGCAGCAGAATCAACTCCACAAACAGCCAAGGCGATGCTGCCCTTTCAACCTCCACCTATTCAACAGCAGCACCCTCCTCCTCCACCTCCACCTCCACCACCACCTCCACCACCCATCATCATCATCATCCCCCCTCACCCCTCCTGCTCCTGTTCCTCATCGTCATCATCGTTCACCTTGAGGTGCTCGGAGATCTCGAGGAGTTCGCCCTTGAGATTCTTCACAGAATCTGCCAGATACCGCACGTCATACAACTGCGGGAAGTACAGGCTGTCACAATCACGATGATGGTGAGGGTAGTGGTGGTGATGAGAGATGGTGGTGAGGGATGGGCGATTGGATCGACTCACAAAGACAACCACAGAAAACCAGCCAACCAGACAGACAAACGGACGCAGACACACACACACACACACACACACACACACACACACACACACACACACACACACACACACAAACAACAGCCAGAGATGGAGGACGTACAAGAGGTTCTCAAAGTACTCTCTGGAGTTGTAAGGGAGATATTCGCCAAGCAAAATCTTGAGGAGGTACGCCATGTTGAAGCCGCTGTCATATATACACACGCGCGCGCACGACGTGAGTTGAGTTGAACAATGATTGGCAGGCACTCAAGGGCGCTAGTGGGTTCAACTGCCACATGAACAATGCCAATGCCCTTCGCCTACTGACGTGTGCACCAACAACCACCCACCCTCACACACACACACACACACACACACACACACACACACACACACACACACACACACAGACACACACACACACACATAGGGCGCGCACCCTCCAAAGGTGATCCAGGTGACGTCGTCGGAGAGGACGAGGTTGCTGCAGGTGAGGAGGCTGGCAAACTGCTCGTGGGACACGCCGTCCCGCTCGTTACGCAGCGGGTCAAACCCGGTCGACCGCAGCAGGTCCAGCGACGACTGGCTGTATGTGTCGGCCGCAAGGTCGATTCTGAAGTTGATTTGCCACGAGCAGCACTTTGGCGGGAGATTGCCCTGCTCGTCCAGCAGCGTGATGCCAAGCTGCAGCATGTTCATGCTGCGGGGATGGGGTGGTGGTGGTGGTGGTGGTGGTTGACACAAAAAATGTGAGTGATGGTAGCACAGGCGGGAAGAGTGTGAGGGTGGAAGGACGGCGAATTGCTGGAAATGCACCGATTGTCGAAACGACAGACAGACAGACAGACGTACACGTACACGCACACGCACACACACACACACACGCACGCACGTACACGCACGCACACGCACACGCACACACACACACATGCGCACACACGTACAGGTTGACGTTGGCGATTATCTCCTGCAATACAAGCTCGCTACCCGAGTCGAAATCACCAAGCACTTTGCCGACAACGCCAGGGAACACCGTGTTCTGTGGGAACGACACAAACAAAGCGCAGAAACGCAGCGGTGAGAGTATGTATGCGCCCGCGAAAACAGGAGCCGTGCACCAGCTGTTGCAGTGTGCGGCCGCAGGCACTGATTCAGCAGCAGCTCTGAGGAAGGCAAATGTACAGCAACGCACCATGGCCACGTATGGATAGTGGATGGCCGTCTCCTGGATGAGCGCGATCTCATCCTCGAGATTAAACGCCCAAACGTCTCTGGGCTCCCGTGGTATCACGGGCTGCACAAGGAACAGCGAAGCGAAGAGGTGAGCAAACGCGGCGAGTGACGGTGTGTGTGTGTGTGTGTGTGTGTGTGTGTGTGTGTGTGTGTGTGTGTGTGTGTGTGTGTGTGTGTGTGTGTGTGTGTGTGTGTGTGTGCGTACGGTACTCGTAATTTTAATTTTCTTTTGCTTTTTTTTTTTTTTTCTGTGTGTTTTTTTTTGCAATATGGATCAATCAGACCTGGATGCATTAAGGAAGTCTCACATTCCTGTGACTTAATTTTTCGTGAGTAAACATACCATAGTCCTCCGACGTGAGAACAACAGCTGTAGGACGGGCTATACCTTCGAGTAGAAACTTAACTAGCGCGGCCGGTCCATCGGTGTGTGTGTGTGTGTGTGTGTGTGTGTGTGTGTGTGTGTGTGGGCTGACACGTTGGCAGTCGATAACACACGACAACGCTCGCACACAGACACAGGGACAGGCAATCACACACACACACACACACACTCACACACACACACACACTCACACACACACACACACACTATACCCACACACACTCATTCACTCACTTGCCCACACACAATACACGCACTCACACATACACACATTGACTGTCGACAAGCATGGGCACTCACAACGTGGGGTCGAAGCATGCTGCGATGATGCTCCTCTGCTCAGGAATTGTTGCTCTGCACAAACGTGGGGGCACTGAGAACCGAACCGCTGCCCAGCAAGATGACGGCGAGGAGGAAGCCAAAAGATGGAACGGCGACAAAACAGAAGCGCACGCGACACGCACGAAACAGAAACAGGGGCCAAGCTTCTGGCGCGGGAAACGAAGACAAACGGGAGGAAAGCGTGCTGTTGGAACAACGACAGAGACCAATGCGTGGCGTAGCCACGAAAAGGAAGAGAAGGTCGTGTACCACCAGTGCGTTGCTTGGATTGGATGGTATGGGATGCGTGGCTACGGTGAGCGGTGGCAGTGGATGTGTGGATTGGAACTGGCACAAACAAACTGTCTGCCTGTCGGTTGTTCGCTCTGTGTGTGCTCTGTGTACTTTTTTTCTGCCACTTGCAAGTGGAAGAATAAATTGTGGACCAGTCGCATATTTTTATCAAGACACGGGTTTTCTGCAGATGGTGCACGAGCTGAAGAAGACGAGACGAGACGAGAGAAGAGATTGAAGGGAGAGGGGAGAAGACATGGAGCAACACAGCAAACAGACATGACAAGTCACACGCACACACGTAAGACACACAAACACACGCAAGACACACAATGTGGCGGTCATCTTCGCGATGCTGCAGGTACAGGGGAGGGTGAGGACGTGGCAGGTGCTGTTCCCAGCAAGCGCACGAGCCGGTTTGTGATTTGGCGGGCAGGGCTGCAGATGGGCACAGACTCTGGCGCCCACCGGTACAGCGACAGCTCCTTCGACCTTGAGGAGGGTGGAAGGTTATGTGTGTGTGTGTGTGTGTGTGTGTGTGTGTGTGTGTGTGTGTGTGTGTGTGTGTGTGTGTGTGTGTGTGGGTGTGTGTGTGTGTGTGTGTGTGTGTGTGTGTGTGTGTGTGTGTGTGTGTGTACGTGAGGGGAACGAGCACACGACATTGGGCAAGAGATCAACCAACAAGCCAACAAGCAGTAGCAACTCACGTTGGTATTGGGTTGTTTGCTGTCGCCATAATCACATAGAGCGGGAACAACATGGAAAACACGGCCGTGCTGTACAGGCAACAATGGGATAAGAGGGGAGAGGATGTGCTTGGCGTGAGAAGTGGGTGCAATTCAATACACGCACATGAGGGCAGAGGAGACATCAAGGCAGGCACAAACACCGCAAAGCAATGTCAACCAACACACACACACACACCTGACGAAAAACTCCCAGAAGAAGGTGATGATGGTGAAGGGAAAGCCAAAGCCGAAGAAGTAAGCCCAGTGGCGCTCAAAGAACTTGATGCGCTTGTTCAACGACCATCCTAAGCACGAGGCACAGCGGAGGAGGCGGAGGAGGCGGAGGGAGGTTGTGAGTAGTTGGGGAGGGTGATGGGCTGGTGGATGGAGGTGCGGGTGAGGGGGAACACAGACATATTGATAGCAACACACACACACACACACACACGACATACACACACACGCACACACGCACGCACACACGCACGCACACACGCACACACGACATGCACACGCACACGCACACACACACGACATACACACGCACACACACACACACACACGACATACACACACACACACCTGCGTTGATCCAGCCGTATTCAAAGCAGTAGAGGGATGTGATCCAGCAGGAGAAGATGAAGCTGAGGACGGGACCAAAGGGCGCGTGCGGCAGAAACGCAATCTGACAGCAACAACAGGGTGACACAAGGAGGTGGTGTGGCGAACGTGGAAATGGGTGGATGGGATGGCGGTTAGGTGGGAGTAAACGTGGTGGGGGATGGGAACAAGGCAGCATGGAAAAGCAGCGCAAGCACGAGACGAATGAAGATGGGCAAGCGACCATTTCAACCAACAGGCGAACGCTTTCATGCACAATACACACACTGCAACGCACACGCACATACGCATACACATGCACCAATGCACACTGCAGCGTACAACGGCAGATGGCGCACCTCTATGACCATGATGGTCTGCATGATGAAGCTGTAGATGAGGTCAGCGACGTTGAGGCTGAGCCACCCAACAATACTGCCACGTGCAGAGTGCGTGATGCAAGGGGGTGTTAAAAAGAAATTACTTGTATGGTATGGACAGTTGTGGGCACTTCTGTACGGATGCACGCACGTGTAGTTGTGTGCGCACATAAGCGAACGTATGCGTTCACACATGCGCACAGACACATAGACTACAGTGTACGTCCACACACAAACACACACACACACACACCACACACAAACACACACAAACACACACAAACACACACACAAGCACACCAACACGCTTACTCCTGCTGTCTGATTTTGTCGTAACCGGCGAGCGCTTCGCCGCGAAAGACGCGGAAGGAGATGTTGGCGACTTTCTGTTGGTGGTGGCAGTGCACGAATGTGCAGTGGCGGTGGTGAGGTGCTGTTGTTGCACTGTGCACGCAATGCGGGCGCAGGCAGAGGGGCGTAGTGATTGCATGAGCATCAACAGCAAGGTCAGATACAGAGAGACGCAAGCGTCGCAGACACACACACACACACACACCTGGTAGTAGAGGGAGTTGAGGACCTTTGCGAGGAAGAAGAGAGGGAATACCCACGCAACGTTGAACACGACCCACAACGCTTTCTCCACAGCACTGTGTGTGTGTGTGTGTGTGTGCGTGTGCGTGCGTGTGTGTGTGTGTGTGTGTGTGTGTGTGTGTGTGTGTGTGTGTGTGTGTGTGTGTGTGTGTGTGTGTGCATGAGGACAAAGCATGTGAAACCGTAAGCAACCGCAAGGGAGGTAATCGATTGGCAAGACAAGCAAAGAACCAACATACACACACTCGTACATACACGTACACACATACACGAGCGACGCGTCGCTGAGGAGACGGTTCTGTTCCCGCTCGTTGGCGTTCCATGTGTACACGAGCACAAACTGGATGCTGGGTCGAAGCAGCAAGTTATAGAACACCAAGCTCCCCTATCCATATGAACGCACGTGCGTGTGGTTGTGGGTGGGTGAGAAGACGTGTGCGTGTAGGGGCGAGGGGTGCGAGCAAGCAACCACGAGAAGTCTATACGGGCGAGCAGGCAGACACACACACACACACACACACACACACACACACACCACACACACACACACACACACACACACACACACACACACACCATGAAGAGCCAGCCGTTGAGGACAAAGCAGTTGCCTGCGTTCTGCCTCACTTCTTGGTTACTGCCAACGTGCATGGACAGCGCAGATGACAGCGACGTGAGGGAAGGACAGGCACAACACCAACAATGCCGCAACAACACATCACAGCAACAACCGCAACAACCGCAGCAGCCGCACCACCGCAAGCAACGCCGTATTTACCCACTTGTAAAGGAGCTTGATGGGCTTGATAAAGTTGCAGGCGTCCGAGACACCCGCGACCACGCAGTCCCATGGCCCCTTTGGATCTTGCGCTCGCATCAGAGAGTGAATCAAGGTGTGGTGTGTCGGTTGATCAGCGGCGTGTGTGTGTGTGTGTGTGTGTGTGTGTGTGTGTGTGTGTGTGTGTGTGTGTGTCTGTGTGTGTGTGTGTCTGTGTGTGTGTGTCTGTCTGTCTGTCTGTCTGTCTGTCTGTCTGTCTGTCTGTCGCTTTCTTGCTCGTTTGAATGTTGTTGTTGATGACTGTGTTGCGTTTTTGCTTGCTCTTCTTTTCTCACAAGCAAGCAAGCACTGACAACAACGCAAAGACATGGTGGTGAGTTGGTGGCGAGTGGGTGTTGGCGTGGGGGTGTTGGCGGTGCTGCTGACGCTGGGGTACAAGGTGGCCCCACTGGACACGGCCGCAACTCTGCAAGCCGTGCTGCTGATCCCCGTTCACCTGGGCAAGGCCGCGGCGCTGGTCATCGACGCATCCTACCACGCCGGGTTCGTTGTCGTGGAGCTGTGCCTCGCGGCTGCCCGTGCTGGCTTACAGGTCTACAACCCGGAACACGTCCCCACCCCACCGCATCAGCAGGCACAGCAGCAGCGCTCCGTGGACGTGAGCTGGCAGGAGGCGCTGCTTGCAGCACGCCACGACATCTCCGCCTTTGACGACGCCGCGAGCGGCAATGACGCTCTTGCCTGGACTAAAGCGGGCGTCGTGCCGGGCATGCTGAACCAGGCGGTGGTGATCACGGGAGCATCCTCAGGCATCGGGAAGGACGTGGCGCTGTTGGCTGCGGAAGCCGGCGCTGCGCTGCTGCTGGCGGCGCGGCGGATGGAGAGGCTGGAGCAGGTTGCAGAGCAGTGCCGCCGAGCTGGCGCTACATCGGTGCACATTGTGCGGTACGACGCGACGCGACCCGAGGACGCGATGTCGCTCGTCGAGACGGCCGCTGCCCGGCTCGGCCGCATTGACACGCTCATCTTGAACGCGGGAACGGCCGGCACGTGGTCGCGGCTGGAAGACCTTCCGAACACAGACGCGCTGCATTGGCTGATGGAGGTCAACTACTGGGGGTACGTGCGGGCGACGCACGCCGCACTGCCGCACCTCAAGCGCACGCGCGGGCGGGTGGTGGTTGTGAGCTCGTTCTACGCGCGGATACCAGCGCCCTTCCAGGCCGGGTACGCAGCCACCAAGCACGCCCTGCACGGGTTCTTCGACACGCTGCGACCGGAGCTGGCCGCGCACGGCGTCAGCGTCACCGTGCACTGCCCGGGCGGCGTGAAGACGGAAGTGCAGCGCAAGTTTGTGCACGCGGACGACCGCCACCGGCACATGGAGCTGAGCATGCCCTCCTACCTCCTGGCGTCATCGCGCGAGTGTGCCGCGTCCGTATTGTGGGCTGCGTACCGCCGCATGCGGGAAGCGTACTTCCCCCTTTACGCGGGGCTGGCTGTGGACGCCCGGACCGCGTTTCCGGCGGCGTTTGACAGCGCATACACGTGGGTGGTGAACCGCCACGTGAGCCAGGACACCTTCTCCCTTGCTCCAGCAGCACACGCGGACCAGGAGCAGTGAATGTGTGTGTGTGTGTTGTGCTTTGTTTTGTTGTGTGTGTGTGTGCGTGTGTGTGTGTGTGTGTGTGTGTGTGTTGTGCTTTGTTTTGTTTTGTGTGTGTGTGTGTGTGTGTGTGTGTGTGTGTGTGTGTGTGTGTGTGTGTGTGTGTGTGTGTGTGTGTGTGTGTGTGTGTGTGTGCGCGCGCGCGCGTGCGTTCGGGAAGACGTTTACGTCGACATGGGGGGGGGGGGCTTGTGGTTGGTTTGGTTGTGGTGTCCGCCTTCTATTGTCGTTGTTGTTGTGACATGACAGTTGGTGGTGAAAGTCAAGGACCAATGAACAGTGGTAGGCGTACAGGATGCAGTCACAGAGTTGAAAGAACGAAAGTTGACGCTAAGAGAGGGTTAAGGAATCAGATGAATGACAGATTGGGCAAGGACAACCAAGAAGTTCACACACACACACACACACACACACACACACACACACACACACACACACATCCATACACCTATACACGCAAAAACACGCACACACACACACATCAGCATCCCGGATCGATGACGAGGACGGACTCCGCATAGTGTGGAATGCCGTAGATGAGGCCGTTTGGACCGAGAACCGCGCCATACCATTTGCCTGTCCCGCCAAGGTCGTTGATACTCGTTGTATCAATCGTGTTGGTCGTTGGATCAATGATGAAGACGGATGAGGAGTCGAAAGGAATGCCAACGACGTTGCCGTTGGGTGCCAGCACACCGTCCGCCCAGTCCCTGATGGAGGACTGAGAAACAGCACGAACCTGGCTGGTCGTGTTGGTGGCTGGATCAATAACAAGCGTCGATGCCGAAAGAAATGGGATCGTGTAAATGAGTCCGTTGCCTGCAAGCACGCCGGCAAGCCACTTGGCGCTCGTGCCGAGGCCACTGATGGTGGTGAGGTCCATGGTCATGGACTGTGGATTGATGATGAGGACAGAGGCTGCACGGATTGGTGTGCAGTAGATAAGGCCGTTGTCTGCCAGCACACCGCCGAACCACTTGTCATAGTCGGAAGCGAGACCAGCCATGGAGGTGATGTCGGCTGTGTTGGTCTCTGGATCGATGATGAGAACAGAGGTCGCAGACAATGGGATGCCAAAGATGACGCCGTTGCTGGCGACCACGCCACCAAACCACTTGTTTTGCCCGGAACCAAGCGAGTGAATGCTTGTGATGTCAATGGTGTTGGTGTCTGGGTCGATGATGAGCATTGTTGGCCTGGAAGCAGCAAACATGTAAACGAGCCCGTTGTCAGCTAGTACCCCACCAGCCCACTTGCGATCGTCTGCCCCAAGTCCGGAGATTGTGGTTGTGTCGACGGTGTTGGTGCTGGGATCAATGATAAGCACGGAGGATGCAAAGTGCGGCGCGGCGTATATCAGACCATTGCCCCCAAGCACACCATCTGCCCATTTTGAAGCCTGCGAGCCAAGTTGCCCAAAGGTCTTTGCACTCGGCTCCACCCGACGACACAGTCCATCAATTGCGCTTTGCTGCGCGAAGGCCGTGCTCTGCAGCGCATCGATCGTGCTCTGCTGCGCGTCGATGGTACTCTGCTGCGTTGAGAATGCCCGCAACAGCGTGTCCATTGTCTCGAACAGCCCATCCACTTGCATCCCGTTCACGAACACGGGCTGGCTCATTGGATCGCTAGTGTTGATGTGAAACGCGCCCGCACCGTCCTCCTTCAGCGTCACCCCTCCAACAACGCCGATGAACGGCATCATCGTCAACAACAGCGAGCAACTTGCCACCACCACCAACGTCAGGCCAGGGTTGTTCATCTTCCTTCGTTGCTGTCCGCAAAGTTTGTTCGAAGGTTTTCGCGCTTTTGGGCAGCAAACAACAAAGTCAATGGAAGAAGAAGCCACGTCTCCTTTGTGCATGTGTGCGTCGTGTGGATAGACTTATTTTATCCATGTGCGGTCGCTTCCCTGCTCGCTCATGGCCGGGCAGCATAGCTCATGCGCGTTGTTGTGCGAAAGCGCTCCTTCTCGTCATCAGGCTCAACGCTGTCACAGATAAAACACACACACACACACGGTGGCATTTGCAATGGTGGTAGTCGCATAGTGAGGAGACAGGTACAGCAGGCGAGATGGTGTTGGAAAAACAATGGCCATGCTATGAGCTCTCGCATCACGCACGCATCAACCCGCCATCTCATCTTTCACACCTGAAGATGTCGACGTTGCGAACAAAGCCAGATTTCTTGACACGCGTGTCCTGCAGCAAGTGCCTACGAGACAGGGGATGTTGTTGTTGTTGTTGTTGTTGTTGTTGTTGTTGTTGTTGTTGTTGTTGTTGTTGTTGTTGTTGTTGTTGTTGTTGTTGTTGTTGTTGTTGTTGTTGTTGTTGTTGTTGTTGTGAAGTGGTTGATGCGAGGAGGGACTAAAGGTGAGATGGGGAGGGCAACAATCGAGAGGAGGGTAAGCCGAGGGATGTCTCGCTCCAGTTTCGCACACACACACACACACACACACACACACACACACGCAATCCATCTCTCGCACTTGTTGCCATAGAGCATCCTGTGGCCCTCGTCCATGGCCTCCTGGTGCTTGTTACCAAAGTTTGTCTGTGTCCATCTGAAGACAAGTGAAGACGATAGGAGAGAGAAGGGGGAGAAACGAGAGAGTGCGTGTCAGTGGTGGTAGCACACACCCGTGCAAACGACAGCAGGCACACATCCACATCCGCACACACAGACACACACGCACACACAGACACACACAGACACACACACACACACACAGACACACACACACACACGCACACACACACACACATACACACATCATGCTGCAAGCGTACGTTGCGTTGGATCGCGTGTTTGTTCGGTTGAAGTACTCTGTCGGGTCAGAACGCGCCAGACGCGCCGTTGTCGGCACGTCTTTCTTCACAGGCTCGCCATACACCTGTTGCACACATGCCAACAGCAACAACAGCAACAGCGTAAGCGGCACAGCACCTGGACCACGCACGGCTTTCCCTCTGCGCATACCTTGAATATACACGCACACAACACCACTCGTTACTACCATCCACTACATTACCTGGTCTGATCGTGGCGGGAGGAAAAAAGGGCGGGGCCGATAGCCGTACTCGTACTGTGACGGCTGCTTCACAATCGGCGGCAGCCGAAACTGCACAAATACGCACACACACACATGACGCGCGCGTGTGCCATGTGCATGGGTGAGGCGGAAGAGTGGTCATAAAGTGCGGTGTTTGTTCAGCATGACATACGTGCAACAAGCCAGTACCGTCACACGGGAGGGGTATGAGGCACACCTCCTTCTTTGGAGACTGCGCAAACCGAGACCGCGTTTCTGTTGCTTTCTGCTCGGCACACAGTCGACGCGTCAACAAAGACGACAAGGAGGTGATGTGGTGGTGAGGTGTCAGCAACGGGCGTGACCAAGCAACCGCACCCACGCAACATGCACCTGGTTCATCGCATCACAGACACAGACACAATCACACACACACAGACACACACACACACGGACACACAGACACACACACACACCTCGAGTGGCTCCAGTGAGGGCTCGAATGCGCTGGTTTGCAGGTTGTTTGTAAAGGCAGAGGATCGGGCCGCATGTGTCGCGCGCGCACCCGCTGTGTAATGTAATACACGCATGTATGTCGTGGGTGTGAGTGTGTTGAGTGATGATGAAGGCATGCGGGCCAAAGCATTCACAATTCAGGGGCACACAGTGCACGCATTTACCTGCGGTGCCCGGGACTTTGTGCTCTGGGTACAGCTGTGCTGGACGGAAACTCTGCCTTGCCTCCGTGGTCAGCGTCTGTGAAAGCAACGAACACCATGAGTACATACGAAGCAAGTACACAAACAAACGTCAACTCACGCACACACACACACACATAATTCGGAGTTGCGTACCGATGGTGGATCGACCTGAATCAACAAGCAGCCACAACCATGTGAGGGTGAGCTCATTCAATCCACAGCATACATGTCACATGACATGTACAGACAGACAGACACACACACACACACACGCATACACACACAGACACACAAAACGCACACACACGCATACACACACAGACACACAAAACACACACACACGCATACACACACAGACACACAAAACACACACAGACACACAAAACACACACACACACACACACACACACACACACACACACACACACCTAGCCCTCTCCCCCCCACACACACACCTCCTTGGACTTTGGGAGGGTGTGCTGGATCTGCGCACGGTAACCGCTGGAGCGCGTGGCCGCAGCGCGAGCGCTGGCGTAGTGCGCTGCAGCGTACTCTGCGCCCTGTGTGCCCCACGTCTTTGGGTGCATGGTGCGCTCGGTTTCATCGAGCACAGAGCCATGGGCCTTGTCATAGTCACGGGCAGTGCGGGTGGAGAAGTGGAGTTGTGGGCTGCACAGGTTGCGCAGGCCATCGTCGTCGTCCACCTCCGGATTGTACACAATCACCGGCCGCGTGTTGCTCGCATACCTGCGCGTGAGCAGGATGGAGGATTTTGAGACAGAAGGAAACGGGAGGATGAGCACACTTGTATGCTCATGTGTACACATGCTTGTGCATTGGCATAGGTGCTGCACATACAACGCACACACACACACACACACGCAGACACACGCAGACACACACACACACACATGCACACACACACACACACGCAGACACACACATGCACACACACACAGCCACACACACACACAGCCACACAAATGCACGTGTTGGCGCACCCGGTCTGCAAGCGACTTTGTGACTGCTGCGCAGGGATCTGCAAGGGGGCCACGGAAGACTGCTGCACCGACATTATGGCAGACAAAAGCGCTTGATTCCTAGCGTTTGATGCTCTCTGCTGATGTTCCTACAGCGAGCAAGGAATGAACACGCCAACAAGGTGAGCCAACTTGAGCGAGGGGAACAACAACAACAACAACAACAACACACACAACAACAACAACAACAACCACAACAACAACAACAACAACCACAACAACAACAACAACAACAACACAGCAGCCTCTTCTTCTCTTGACAACAACACACCACCAACCACCGCGCGTTTTTCTTTTTTGGTCAGTGCAGTTGTGAAAAGTGGCTGGAGATGTACATGATTTTCTACAACCATTGAAGCTGATCAATGCAGACATGTCCTCCCTGCAACCCACGCCGACGATGGTGTACTCGTATGTGAGTGCATGCACCGCTGTTGTGCTGGGACTGTTGCTGTTTGCACAGCGCAAGCCGTCGTCATCTGCAGCAGCGAATAGCACCCACACGGCCGCATCCAACTCATTCAGGTTCGAAGGAGTGAGTTCTTGCGACTGACATGCTCGTCAATGCTTCAGCTTTCCATGGCCTCACTCCAACACGCACACACACATACACACACATACACATACATACACACACACATACATACACACACATACACATATACACACTGTAATGCGCATACCTTGCGCCTTGCTCAGGCAGTTCCAGTGGCGGTTTCTCACGGTGTATCTGGTGATGACGGCCGCGGATTGGGCGCAAGGGCCCTATGTCTACAACTTGTACGAGCACTACGGGTTCTCCATTGCCCAGAACGGACAGCTGTTCATCGCTGGCTTCGGTGCATCCCTCACGCTGGGCACCATTGCCGGCAGCCTCGCGGACAAGCGTGGTCGAAAGTTTGGTGAGATGTCAGGCCCACAACCCATCGGCTCTCGCTTGCATGATGTTGTTGTCGTCGTCGCATGCCTGGCGGGTGAGAGTGGTGTGCGTATAAAACCACACATTACGTGCAGCCCAGCGGCTGCATCTTCGATTCCCCACACGAGCTCATACGTTGTGTGCTTGCCTGTGTACTGTTGCCTGCCACCACGGTTGCTGCTCGCCTAGGTGCTGTGCTGTATGGGCTGCTGTACATGGCGTCCTGCGTCACCAAGCACTTCAACAGCTTCCCCGTCTTGATTGTCGGGCGTGTGCTCGGCGGCATTGCCACGTCGCTCCTCTTCTCCGTGTTTGAGGCCTGGATGGTCAGTGGTCCGCACCAGAGGGCGAGAGAGAGAGAGAGAGAGAGAGAGAGAGAGAGAGAGAAACGCAGACGAGCACAAGGGCCTGTGTGTGTTTGAAGAGGGGGATCAATGGAAGCGGCTGTAGTCAAGTCAAACGTTCATGTCACGACGCAGTGCTTGTGGCGTTGCTGCTTGACTATGTTCTCCATCTCAAATTGGTACACCCACGTACACCCTGTCGTTCTCCTGCATCTGCTTGTGTGTACTTCGGGGATTATTCAGGTTGCAGAGCACGAGAAGGCAGGCTTCGACAGCACGTGGCTCGCTTCCACGTTCGCGTACATGTCTGTAGGCAACGGCATCGTCGCCATCTTGGCCGGATGGGCCGCACAGGTCAGCTTCAGATGAGACAGGGAGTGTACGTGCATGCTGTTTGCTGGTGGCTTTGTGCATGCAGGCATGCAATCTTGCGCATGAGGTCTGCTGCAATAACAGCATCAAGATGAGGTGCAACACCCCCCACACACTCTCCCTCTCTCTCAGCCACGGTTCACACTTGTTGCTTGTGTGTTGTTGTGGCTCAGGCTGCTGTGGACCTTGCTGGTCACCCTGTTGCACCGTTTGACTTTTCCTTCGCGCTGCTGGCTGTGGGGACCGTTGCCGTTTGGAGCACGTGGGGCGAAAACTTTGGCCAGGCCGGAAGTGATCTCCAGTCGAATTTGGCAGACGCCTGGCGCGCCATTCGCACAGACCGCAGCGTAAGCGATGCACGTGCTGGTGTGTGCGTGTGTGTGTATGTGCGTACATGTGCGTAGTTGCGTGTATGTGCGTAGTTGCGTGTGTGTGTGTGTGTGAATTGTGAATTTCATGCAATCAATAACACTGTTCATGCATCATCCACCCATTCATTCATGGGTGTTCAGGTGCTGCTGCTTGGAACGCTGCAGTCGCTGTTTGAGGGCGCCATGTACACGTTTGTGTTCATCTGGACACCGGCGCTACAGGAAGGGGCGACCACCTCTCTTCCCCTCGGCACCATCTTCGCCACATTCATGATCTGCTGCGCCATCGGTGGCGCCCTGTTCAAGGTGGGATTGGCGGTGATGATGGCAGCGTGATGGTGAAGATTGAAGGGGTTGTTGTCTCGACCTTATTAGCTTGTAAGATGTGGCATCAACACGGCGCTGTGTCACGTGTACGCCGTCTCTCACTCACGACACCAACACACACCTTGACACACACACACACATGTGCAGTGGGTGTCTTCGAGTGGCGGTGCAGCTGTGGATATGCGATCTGTTCTGTTTGGCGTGTTCCTCTGCGCAACCGTCTCTCTCGCTGTTCCCGCCATCACAACAGCGACACATGCGAGATTCGCAGCCTTTCTTCTTTACGAGGTGTGTGAGCGTGCATATTATTTGTATGTCAATGAGTGCTTGTTCACATGCACATCTGTGCGCGTGTGCACAACCCAACCAATACACACCACGTCCCATATGTATTAACACCGCCCTCGCACGTCACCGTCTTCACCACCACCACCACTATCAGGTGGCCGTGGGTGTGTTCTGGCCGGGTATGGGGACGCTGCGCGCTGCGTGTGTGGACGAGCGTGTGCGTGCGACCATCCTCAATCTGTTTCGTGTCCCCTTAAACGTGATGGTGTGTGTGATCCTGCTCTATGTGGGGCAGCTGGCCATCTCAACCGTCTGCCTCCTCCTCGCCGCAACGCAAGGTGACACGTGTGGCGCCTTACAATTCACTTTGCACATCCAGCGCAGATGAGCGCACACATCGTCACACACACACACACATCGTCACACACACACACATCGTCACACACACACATCGTCACACACACACACACACACACACACACACATGCAAGCTGTTCGGATGACTCTTTGGTCTGATTCACGTTGGTTCGCATGAATCGTATCATCACCATTGCCATCACCGCCCCTCACCGCCACCAACGGGCAACAGCGGGCTGCTGTGCGCTCATCTGGATGATGCCTGCAGGCACGTCGAACCGCTCGCCTCCATCCACATCACAAGCACACGCGCAAGACAAGGTGTAGAGGAGGGGGCGGGGGAGAGGTGTGATGAATGTGGTGATGCAACGTTGTGTGTGCACCGCATCGATAAGTTACGCCATGTTCCGGCTGTGTGGAGTTGTGCCAGCCACGCTCGATTCGCTCGTCACGCCCCCATGGCTTGCTGGCCAGTTACCATTTCTTTAATATGCGCATGTGTACATACACGCACGTGAGACATCATTAAATACAAGCAGTACAATCGTAAAACAACAGCGGCGTCAACAAGAAGTAAACATGCGAACAGGTGATCATATGAGCGAGGGTGTGTGTGTGTGTGCGGCGCATAAATGTAAGCTTACACAGACAGAAACGCGCGCACACACATGCACACACACGCACAAACGGACACACACACAGCCCGTGCCACTGTAACGATGATGCTAAGCGCTGTGTGTGTGTGGTGTAGCGGCGTCCTCCTCCAAGACGTGCAGCAGTCGCTCCATGTTGTCGTGCTGGCGAAGCGATGAGATGATCCCGTCCAGGCCGTCGTCCTCAAGCACGCTCGACAGCGACGCCCGCACATTCACGCGGTGGTCTGCATGTGTGAATGTGTGTGTGTGAGGGGGGGGGGATGGGTGTATGTGTGCGTATGTGTGTGCGTGTGTGTGAGTACACGAGCATCTATTTGCTTCCGCATATGCTGTCTCATCTACACACACACACACACACACACACACACACACACACACACACACACACACACACACACACACACACAAGCGAACGCATCGCCACCACCGCCACACCCATCATCGTCACCTGTGACGCGGTCCTGCGGGAAATTGTATGTGCGAATTCGATCAGAGCGCGAGCCAGGCGTTCCTCCAATCTGTTGGTACAGCGATGATTGCGGTGGTGGTGGTGGTGGTGAGATACAGTGTGCGCATGCACAGCAGACAGCCATTTCTAATCACAACCGCCACCACGGCCATCGTCATCATCGCCATCGTCATCATCGTCATCCCACCAGGGCGCGTCGCTGTTCTGCGCGTTCGAGCTGCGCTTTCTCGCGCTCCTGCTGGTACACACGCGCACGAATCATCTTCATCGCCACATCCCGGTTCTGTGCACACACACACACATGCGAGGAAGTGGGGTGGGGAAGGGTGAACGGGGAACGGGGGGAGTCATGGTGAGACATTGGTTTGTAGCAGTGAGACGAGATGTGGACAAACAAACACACACACACACACAAACACACATACATACACACATACATACACAGACACACACAAACACACAGCCACA